TCACAGCTCTTAATGAACCTTGCATCAGAATCTCAGGTGGGAGACACAGAAAACCTGTCTTTTTGAGAATTCACTGTGATGCCATGGGCAGCTCAGGTTTGTGGAAATCTTGCCCTAGAGCTAAGCCCCTGAAGAGCTGGTTTCTCCCAGTAGCCGCCACTTTCTTCCTTTTGGAGTCTGCTTCTTCCTTCCTTTTCACTCCAGCTGCCAGGGAACTCATAGTCAAGTCAAGTTTCCCTGCTCACCTACCTGAGGTTCAACGATAGTCTTAACCTTCTATGTAACTTCTGTATTCCTGATACTTAATGTTTAAAAATTAAGATCTAATTCATCCTCAACCTTCCAAGTAGCTGGAACTACAGGTGCGCACTTAAAAAAAAGATAGCCGGGCTCGGTGACTCAGCCTGTAATCCCGCGCCTTTGGGAGGCTGAGGTGAGTGGATTGCCTGAGCCCGCGGGTTCGAGACCCGCCTGGGCAGCGAGACCTCATCTCTACAATAAATCAAAAAATCAGCCGGGCGTGGTAGCGCATGCCTGTAATTCCGGCTACTCGGAAGGCTGAGGCGGAAGGATCGCTGGAGCCCAGCAGGCGAGGCTGCAGTGGCTGGGAGCTGCCACTGCACTCCAGTCTGGGCGACCGAGTGAGACTCCAACTCAAAAAAAAAAAAGATATAACTCACACACCATAAAATTCAATCTTTCAAAGTGTGCAGTTCAGAGGTTTTTAGTATATTAATAAGATTGTGCAACCATCGTCTCTGTCTAATTTAGGAGAATTTATTTGTCTTCTATTTATTTTTTTATAGAGATTAGTGTCTCACTGTGTTGCCCAGGCTGGTCTCAAATTCCTGGGCTCAAGTTATCCTCCCACCATGGTCTCCCAAAGTGCTGGGATTACAGATGTGAGCTACCACACCCAGATTGAACATTTTTATTACCACAGAAAGTCACTCCCTATTCCCCCTTCTTGGAAACTCTTCCATCTTCTTGGAAACTCTTAATCTCATTTTCATATTTATGAATGTGCCTATTCTTGATATTTCAGACAAATGGAATCATATAATTTGTGCCTTTTTGTGTCTGACTTATTCACTTAGCATAATGTCTTCAAGATTCAGCCATGTTGTAGCATGAATCAGAATTTCATTTTTATGGCTGAATAATATTCTTATATGTGGATATACCACATTTTATCTGTCTACTCATTAATTAATGGACATTTGGGTTATTTCCACTTTTTGGATATTAGCAATAATATAGCCACGAACTTTTGTTCACGGGTCTTTGTGTGGGTGTGTTTTCAATTTTCTTGGGTATATACCTATGAATGGATCTAGTGGGTTGTAGGGTAACTCTGTGTTTATCCTTTTGAAGGGCTGCCTAACTGTATTTCAAAATGGCTGCATAATTTTTCATTCTCACCAGCAGTGTATAAGAGTTTTAATTTTTCCATATCCTTGCCAACACTTGCTACTGTCTGGCTTTTTCATAATAGCTCTCCTAGTGAGTGTAAAGGGATCATTTGTGGCTTTGATTTGCATTTCCCTAATTGCTCCTTGTCATTCATATTCTATCATTCTATTGCTTGCATTTCTGCTCTGAGACCTGCTATACCCATGGAACAAGCATCCCACAGAGTGAGAGAGCATCGGGTTCAGTGACAGTTCCAGGTTTGAATTCTTCCTTTACGGCTGTTAGCTATGTGGCCCTCAGCAAGTTATTTAACACTCTGAGTCTAAGTTTCCTTCCTTATTATATGTGAGACATAGCATTAAACATTCTTGATTGTGGCTGTTATTATAAGTCTCTAATAAAGCCCCAGAGTGGGCCCAGCAGGAAGCAAGTCCTCAGTGAATCCCACCAATGAATCCAGGAGTCAGAGGAGAGATTTCCAGCTTGGTTAGGAGAACTAGGGTGGGGGCTGTTTTGTGTTTGATCTATGATCTGCTTTACTCCTGCAACTTTTAACAACCAATGCATTTCTATACCAAACATTAGCCTCTCTGTTCCTCTGGTTCCCCTCCACGACAGGAAGCCTATCCACTTCTGGAGTGTGGCAGACACAAATGAGAGGACCTGAGAAATGAAACTGTACATCACAATGTCAAGAATTGGTGACTCTTACAAGTCTTCTCTCTTGCCTCAACCATCAGATTAGCTGCTGCCTTAAGGGAATGTCTTCTCCCTCAGATGAAGGGCTGTCCTTCTCCTGTGCAGAGTCCATTCCTGCCTGTCCCCATCTCCCAATAGAAGGCACGAGAAACTCAGGATATGTGAACTGATTTGAATGGCTGGTTCCCATCACTTGGGCATGACAGAGACAACGTTATCTCTCATTCTGCGTTGGGGTCTGCCTTCTGGTGCCACAGAACAGCCCCAAGTCTACCCCAGGCCATGAAAACAATCACTGCCCTTGGAATCAGAATGCCAGGCTCTGTCTCAGCTATTATAAACGCCAGTCTCTGGTGGCTCAGTGCCCAGTCCATGAGTTCCTAAGGCGCTTACCAGCCCCTGGGTCCCTGGCATCCACACAGGGCTGGGCACACAGGCCATCTACACAGACCAAAAACTGCATCTTGCACAGATCCTGACTTCCTGTGGAGCAGTTAATGACAGGGCCAGTCCTGAAACAGGGGGGCAACAAGACACGTCCACATGTCTGGCCAGGACATTGACCCTAATTAGACAAGCCAAAAGTCAGAGAGGAAGAATCAGAGCCTAGGCTGCCAGATCCCCACCCTAGACTGAAATAGAAACCCATTTCAGAGACAAATGGGGAAATGGCCCCAGGGCAGGAGGGGGTGGAGGTGAACTCAGCTTCCTGAGAGTCTTGACTGGTCCCAGGTCATCTGCTGGAAGGAACACCTGCTGTCAGGCTCTGCTGATTCTCTCCTCCGCTGTGGAACCAGGAAAACCCAGGCTCAGAACTCTGGATCTGGAGCCTGACAAATTCTAATCCCAGCTCACACACTGGACAGGATGCTTTAATTTCTCTGAGCCTCAGCTACCTCAACTGCAAAATGGAAATGACAGTAATCCCGGCTGCATTCACTTTTGTGTGTTGATACATCATGGGTGCTCAATAAATAATGGCCATTGTTATTATTGCTTAATTAGCTCTCTCAGCTCAATATTGACTGAGTGCTTTATCTATTTGCTCTTTCATGCATTTATTCATTTGACCAGCATACGCCCACTAGATAAACCACAACAGTTAATCAAGTTTTTAGAGTTAGGTAGGAGTTGCAAACCCAGCAGTGCCACTGGTTGACTGGATAACTCTAGGAAAGTCATTTCCCTTCCCTGAGCCTTCATTTTCTCACCTATACAATGGGAACAACATTAGCACCTCTGGAGGGCACGGGTTTTTTGGAATTTTTTTTGTTTTTTTAGAGCATGGTCTCACCTTGTCTTCCAGGCATGTACATAGCTCACTGCAGTCTCAAATTCCTGGGCTCAAGTTATCTTCCTGCCTCAGCCTCCTGAGTAGCTTGGACTACAAGCACTCACCACCACACCCAGCTAAGTTGTTAAAAATTTTTTTGTAGAGTCAGGGTCTCGCTGTGTTGCCCAGATTGGTCTCAAACTCCTGGCCTCAAGCGATCCTCCTACTTCGGCTTCCCAAAGAGCTGGGATTACCGATGTGAGCCACCATGCCCAGCTGGCACTGGCATGTTATAAAGAGCCAGTGGGACAATGATGTGAAAGCAGCCAGCATGGCTGGCGAGGGAAGCACAGGTGGCAGGTGGGCTGCATGGAGGAACTGGGCAAGCCTCTACCCCTGTAGACTGGGTTGTGCTGGGAGTTCCGGCAGCCAGGTCTCCAGGGATAGCCACCGGATGAGGCAAGGACAGGAGAGAAGAGTCGGCAGGCTCAGAGACAATTACTAGGTTTCCGGACCATAGCTTCCTCTCTTTTCTGGTAAACTAACAAACAGTGAGGAAATGCAAAAAAAAAGATTGTAAGAATTTCAGAGGAGAAAAGGCTCAGTCAAACAGTGTCTCAGGAACATGGAGTTACCTCCACCCATCTGGGCATACATAAGTGCACACACTCGGGAGCTGCACATGCTCTGCACATGTGCCCAGGGACATGCTCACACACGTAGATGCACCATCAGAGGCACAGCACTTTGCAGTTTGCAAACAGCCTCTTCCTTTTTCATCTCATTTGATACTGAGAGGCAGAGACCGTCCCTGAATCAGCTTAAGACCCGGGCAAGAGATGTCAATCCCAAATGTCTTCAAAAGGCCGGGGCTGAACACACGGGTTATGCTGCCTGTTTTCTCTGTGGAGATGTCTGAAGAGCTGAACAGCAGTAGAAACTCAAGAAAATTTTAACCCAGCTCCCCCAGATATACCTGTACTCCTTTCATCTTTATCAAGCCACAACAGGTCTCCTGGACTCAATTTCCCTACCAGTCAGGTGGGGTCCGCTCCACACTGTCTTGAGATTTAGGGAGGATGCTAGAAGTAAGAGGTTTTCCAAGGCTCTCTCCCGTAGACTCTCACTGGGTCACTCAATCCTTCCTCCCTGCCACCCCTTGCCCCCCGCCATGGTTCCTGGGAGCTCTGAGGGCAGGGCCCAGCCTCCTCCTGAGGGATCCTCACCAGTGTAATACACTTAACAGTTTCCAAATTCTCAGGGGGAGATCATCGTTACCCCCATTTTAGAGAGTAGAACATCGAGGTCCAGAGAGGAAAAGTGTCCTGTGCCACTCAAACCCAGACCTATGTGGCTCTGAATCTGGCCCGCACCATTCCATGTCTCCACCAAGGCACAGCCCAGCGCCAGTGTCTCTATCTCCTCTCCTCCCCTCCCATCCCGCATGCCTAGTGCTTCCTCAGGTGCAGTCTGCAGCCATGAGACACAACCGGTGGAAGGATGGGGGAGGACCCCTGCCTGCCCCTGTCCCGCTCCAGCCTGTGACTCTAGTCCAGAGGACTGCGCCTACTCAGGAAGCTCCCAGCCCTTCCAAGTACTGACCCAGAAAACTCACCCAGGAGTCAGCGAGTGCCCCACTTGTGTTCCATGAAGTGCTGAAGCAAATTCCCACTCCTGGAGCCACCCCTGCTCCTAGGCAGCTTCTGTGCCACCAACTGTCACATGCAATGTCTCGCAGAAGTCTGGATAGGCAGCAGATGAGGAAACCAAGAAATATGAGTAGGGGAAGTAACTTGCCACAACACAGAGCTGGCAAGCAGCAGGGCCAAGACTCAATTCCAAGCGCCTTAAAACTCAAGTCCCTGCCACCAAAGCTGACTCAGCGACTCTCCAGCTGCAAACAAGTCACTTCACTGTCTGAGTTTGCTCGCCCAGTGAATGGGTAGCTGCTGGGTGCGGTGGCTCATGCTTGAAATCCCAACACTTTGGGAAGCTGAGGCAGGAAGATCACTTGAGGACAGGAGTTTGAGACCAGTCTGGCCAACATTGCAAGACCTTGAAAGAAAGAAAGAAAGAGAGGGAAGGATGGAGGGAGGGAAGGAAGGGCGCCATCAATTTAGCTCCAAGGGCTGCTGAGAGGATAGAGTGAGACAACATTCAAGTCCCAGGGCCTGGCACAGGGAGGGCACTTATTGGATGATCATTTTTTCCTTCCCCTCCCTCCCCCTCGCTCCAGTCCTCCCTCGGCCTCTCTCAAGTCTGGAGATAGTCCTGTTCCTGCTCATTGCTGCCACAGGGAACAATTAACCTGGTTTCTTCAGCAGTGCTTGGAAGGTCCATTAAGAGAGGCTGAGACCCTGAGATTAACATCTCTGTTGCCTGTGGCCCCAGTCAATAGTTCTGATAACTCTCACATCAGGGACTGAAGATGGCACCTCAAATGGAGGGTGATTTGGGGAGAAAGGCTGAGCTCAGGTTACCACCTCCTTCCTCAACTCCACTGGGCCATGGTAGACCTGTTGGCCCCTCCCCATTGTAAGGTTATTCTTTCTCCCTCTTGCTCCTCCTCCTCTTCTTCTTCTTCTTCTTCTTTTTTTTTTTGAGTTGGAGTTTCACTCTGTCACCCAGCCTGGGATGCAGTGGCATGGTCACAGTCACCGCAGCCTCAACCTACTGGCCTCAGGTGATTCCTTCCGCCTCAGCCTTCCAAGTAGCTGGAACCACAGGCATGTGCCACTCCACCCGGCTAATTTTTTAATTTTATTGTAGAGGGGAGATCTTACCACGTTTCTCAGGTTGGTCTCACCCCTGAGCTCAGGCAATCCTCTTGCCTACGCCTCCCAAAGTACTGGAATTACAGGATTGAGCCACCGCACCCATCTCTCTTCTTTTTTTCTTTACAAGTACTTATTGGGCACCTACTCTGTTCAGGTAATGTTCCAGGCACTTAAGGGCAAAACACCCAAAGTTCCTGCCCTTGAGATGTCTATATTCTAGAAGGAGAGACTAGTGAATGAGTAAATCAATAGCAAGTCCGGGAATGATAAGTGTTACAGAGGAACATGGAGGCGGGCCAGGCGTGGTGGTCACGCCTGTAATCCCAGCACTTTGGGAGGCTGAGATGGGAGGACTGCTTGAGCCCAGGAGTTCAAGACCAGCCTGGGAAACGTAGCAAGACCTCATGTCTACAAAAAAAATCAAAAAATTAGCTGGGCATGGTAAGCTGTGATTGTGCCACTGCACTCTAGCCAGGGTGACAGAGTGAGACCCCATTCAAAAAAGAAAAAGAAAAGAAAAGAAACATGGAGGAAGGCGAGGGGCAGAGAGCTGGAAGCTGCAACCTAACACAGGCCAGACAGGCACTGGCTGGATTTGCTGGATCCCCTTCTCCTAGGACCACCTCCCACCTCTCTTTGGAAGAGCCCTCTCGGCCTGGAGGAGATGCTGCCCTAGGCCCTGAGCCCCCACTCTGTACTAGGCCTTGCCTAGGATCTCAGCAGTGGGCCAGGGGCTGGCGAGGACTCCCTGGGCCCAGGCTGTGGCTCAGGACCGCCAGGGTTTTGGCGTGGAGTGTCTGGGTTTCCTTCCACCCTCGGTGCTGGGGAAGCCCTCAGCAGGCCTTGACAGGGAGCACATCCCCAAATTCACCCCAACATCCTGTTGGAGGGAGGAGGGCCCTGGGCCCAGAGAGAGGCAGGGGCTTGCCTGGGTCAACCAGCAAGACAGAGATGCTCTTGCTCTCCCTCCCGTCCTCTCTTCTGGCATGTGCACATAGGCAGATTCAGGGATGAGACTCCCAGCAGAGTGCTGGCCTGTGAGGGGGCTGGCTGTGCCTTCTGTCAGCTCCTGGTGGAAGACTGTGAGATCCTCCTGCATCACACCCACCTGGCAGTCCCAGCCTGCCCCATCCTCTGGGCTCAGGTGATTCCTTCCGCCTCAGCCTTCCAAGTAGCTGGAACCACAGGCATGTGCCACCCCACTCGGCTAATTTTTTAATTTTATTGTAGAGATGAAGTCTGACAGCCCCAGTTCTTGTATGCTAGTCCCAGGGAGGCTCAAAGCACTTTCCCCCAGCCCAAGCTCATGAGAGTTTTGGTCAACTCTGCCTCAACTTGCTGTGTGACCTCAGGCAGATCCCATCCCTCTCTGGGCCTCAGTTCCCTCATCTGTCAGAGGAAATGAAGGCACTTATACCTCAGGGATGTCGTAAAGAATGAGCAAGACACTAGCAAGAAGGAAGTTTGCCAACTTTTAGATGCTACCCAGATGATAGGGGTTATTACACGTTCATCTGAAAACCGGCCTCTTCACATTTTTGGGGTCCCCAGGGAAGGCCCTTGATCCTTGATGGGAAATAAGTAGAAATTCCATGGAACCAGTTCTTCAGAAAAGACAAAGCTACCTCTGCTCCCAAGCAGCTGACAGGAAGGGCCCCTCCCTTGTCCTTGAGGTGAGGAGGCGAGGAGGGAGAGACAGGAACAGGACATGGCTGGGAGGCCTGGGAAAGCCTGTTCTGGGAGGAGGAGGCGTAGCCTGGGGTGACTGAGAATCACCACTCTCCGCCTCATGTCCTCAGGGCTGGAAAGGATACAGCCAGTAGCTGTACATGTATACTGGGTACACATGTCTGTCTGTGGGCTTGCCAGCCATGTGCAGACCTGACCTGGAAGATGCACATTATTCACAGGGAACACGTATTTGAAATTACACCAAAAGGTACACGTGCTCGAGTGTCACGTGAGTGGCTCTAGAGGGTATACATTTGTTCACATGCATGCTTGCCCAGTCCAGCATCTGCTTGTGCTGCATATACACGCCACTCCTGGGAATCCCTGCCACCTCCAGTTCATAGGCCTTCTTTTCCTAGGCTTGGCAATCCTCACCACCATCCCTAATGCCATGGAAGATTTGTGGGGTTCCCAAGCCCTGCAGGCTCTTGATGGCCCCAGGAACAAAAGAAGTTACAAAAGAGGAGAAGGAGGCCTTAGCGGATTAACTCAGACTCAAGATCTCCCAGCTCAGCCCAAGGTTTGGGGTTCTCAGGGCTAGGGGTGTGCCCAAGGTCAAAGCCTCTCGGAGCCTCTGTTGCCTGTGGGCACAACCCCTCCCTAGCCTCTCTTCTGCCCTCAGTCACCAGCAGGAGGCCCCTGGGCCTGTAGGATAAGTCAAGTGCTTTCCAGTTTGCACCCCACATGCCCTTGCGGGATGGTGCTCCCCAGAACCTGGCCAGGCTGACCTTGGAACCCTACCTCCAGAGGCCCTGCCCCAGGCAGCCACTGCGGGCTGTCTCAGAGTTCCCCCTCCTGGCCCTGGCTGGGCTCACAGTTCGGTCCTGGCCGCTGCTCTGGGTGGGTCTCACCCCTTCCTGACCCTTGGTTTCCCCAGCTAAAGAATGGATCTATTCCCATGCACGTGAGTCAAGGGCCAGGAAGGGTCTCGCAGTCTCTGATGAGCCACTGGCAGGCAAGAGACTCTAATGTCTCCTGCAGATCCCAGGCACCCAAGGCCACAGCCCGTTGGCCCCTTGCCACTCGCAGGAGTCAGGAGGGGAAATGCCCTCAGCCCTCTGACTGAAACAGGAGACCACCCGGCCCCAGTCTAGGAGATGCAGACCCTTTAAGATTCAGATCAGACTCTAAAGGGAGGGGGTCTCACTTCAAGCTGCAGGAGGTGAGGAGGTGAGGAAGGAGGGACAGGAAAGGGACGAGGCTGGGAGCCTGGGAAAGCTTGTTCTGGAGGGAGGAGAAGGTATTGCCCCGAGGTGACTGAGGATCACTCATGCCCTGTCTCCTCAGACAGGGGGAGGCGGACCCTCTTGTTGAGCTTCGGTTGACTTTCTCTGTAACCTGACCACCTCTTTCTCTCCAGGCCTGAGGTCTGCTGCTTGCTGTGGTTGGAAAGCACAGAGGGGCCACAGAGACCTGGCAGAAGAGGAAGGAGTATGTGCCCAGGAGTGTGATACCTCACTGGCTCGTGCACAGCATGCCCAGACCCCAGCACAGCTCCCTACAGCTCACACAGGTCCACACATGCGCATGCACACACGCCCGGTACTGGCCACACTTGGGGGCACACCTGCAGCAGGCATACTCACACCCGCACCACACACGCAGAAGCCTGCATCCATGCGAAGGGCTCTCACTTAGCTCGGCAGCAAGTTGCATGAGAACAACTTTCAGAACCAGGAAAGCTATGGAAGGGGAAGGACTGAGGGCTCTGATACCCAGGCCATTGCTCTGCTCCCTCCCAGAAAGACTAAGGGGTTTCCCAGAGGACACAGATGATTTGTCCAGCTCATCCTCTCCAGCCAGCCCACACAAGTCCCCAGAATATGCAGAGAAAGCAGGCAAAGGTACCTGTGGGAGAGTGGCCCCTGACTTGCCCAGCTGGCCACCAGGCCTGCCTGTTACCAGGAGGCTTCCAGCTGAGCACTAAATTTTGGAGTCCTCCACGCCCCAGACAGTGCTGAGTCACACATGGCCACATGGGAATGATGCTCCCGTGCTAACTCCACAGGGGTCTTCTCTACGACCTAAGATGTTGGGAGGATCTCTCAGACAGAATGAGGCTTGCCATGGGGGGCTTCCTCAGCCCCATTTCTCTTCTTCTTCCTCTTGATGGCCCTTCAAGGTGCCCAGGGACTCCACAGTCCCCTCATCCTGAGGGATGCCTACCATCCAGGATCCAAACCTCTCTCCCCCCAAGTCCACCCTCCCCTGAGAGCCACAAGGCACCTAGCACCTCTGCTGTTCTGATGAGGAGAGGCCCCTGGGTTCAGGGTCTTCCATCTCAGGGAGCCTGTGGCTGTTTTACCAGGGATCTTTGTTA